TCAGAAAAACCTATGGAAAATTGATGTTATTGAAGATATCGAAGCAGTTTGAAAATTGAAGAAGATGATTTGGTAAGATTTTTGATTAGCGCTATATCCTTATTTCTTTTTACCTACTCCTTCCTTATTTTTCATAATCTCGTATTTGTTAGTATAGTGTAAAATTGTAGCATATATATCTCGTATTTTTAGACGTCAAATAGACATATTTCACGTAAAAATATATTTTCTCGTTGTTTGTTTTTCGTAATCACGTCTCGTACTCGTTTTATGTGTACCTTGTTTGTTTACTTTACCTTTGTCTACAAGTTGTAAAATTTTTTGACAATAAAGGCATTTATTTATTTAAATGGAACACCCTGTATATTATTTTTTCAATAGATTGAGAATTAAAAAATGAACATTTTTTGTATTTAGAGTATTTTAAAATTTTTAACGGTTTTGCAGGTATTCGCGGTTTTATATTTCATATGGCGTTTTCCATAATAAATTTTTATCAAAGCCACCCAATGATTTTTCTCTCGTATTTTACCGTTGAGAGATCCATATGAAATAATACTGCGTGTATCTGCGAAACCATTAAAAATTTTGAAATACTTTAAACACAAAAAATGTTTATTTTTTAATTCTCCAACTAATAAAAAAAATAATATACAGGGTGTTCCATTTAAAAAAACGAAGAAAAATTATTTTATATTTTAGAAAGTTTGCCGTAAAATTTTGAACATCCTGTATGATTTAAGATTACGAAATTTATAGTAAAGTTAAGTATGGACCATCTAAAGTAAATACCTGATATAGTTTTGATTTCAGGACAGTTCTTGTATTTTTAATAATTCTTTTTAAGAAAGGTTGAAAAATATAATTATTTATTTATTTATTAATATCTCTGAAACTATCAAAATATATTTATTCATATCTTAGGATTACGTAAAGTGATCTGAAAGGAAGCCAAAAATGCAATAATATACAGGGTGTTCCATTTTAAAAAAATTATCCCGATTCACTCACACTTTTTGGATTCACTCACACCTATAGAAGTTAAAATATTTTCCTGAAATACATCCTTGTACATCCTTTACGTTTACACTTAAACAAAATTCCAAAAATTTTTTATTCTAGGAGTTACAGATGCCCGACGCACTATTGCCGGACCCTGTATAGTTAACGACAAACCGATCTATAATTTTGTCTCGGAAGTAACCAACCAAGATCTTGATAAATCTTTAACGAAAGTTTGGCAGATTGAAGAGTTAGAAAATAAAAAGCATTTGTCGAAAGACGAAAAATACTGCGAAGAATACTTTAAGATCACAAGGCGAAACTCAGAGGGTGAATTTATAGTTAAATATCCATTTAAACAAAATTTAAATTATCAGTTAGGCGGTTCGAAGAAATGTGCATTAAAACGGTTTTATATTTTGGAAACACACTTTAAGAAAAATGAAAATTTTAAAGATCTTTATATAAAATTCATACACGAATACGAAGACTTAGATCACATGCAGTTTAATTGTTATTTAGAAGTTGACAAATCAATAGAAAAGGAATCGTTCTTTTTACCTCACAGTGCGGTAATAAAAGACTCAATTACTACACGGTGTAGGGTTGTATTCGACGCGAATGTGAAAAGTGAATCAGGCGTATTCCTGACTGATCTTATGATAGTAGGCCCGACCGTTCAAGACAATTTATACAGCATTTTATTTAGGTTGCTCTTAAGAAAATTTCTTAAAACTCAACTTACCGTCACAACCAACTCTATGTAAAATTTGCAGTCAATGGTATTTGATCATCAAATATAAAATGTTTGTTTAAAAATTTTTATATTTGATGTAATTAAATCAAAAGTGTCCACTTTGAATACTCATGCAAAAACATTGTGGTTTATGTATGACGAAATGGCACACTCAAAAGCTTTTTATTTTATAATAAAACTATATACTGAGATTATTAGCTTTCACAATACATTCGAAAGAAAAGCTATACAGCAAAATCGGTCGTAGTCTTAATGACGAGGTGTATATGTTTCAAATTTCGACATGTTCAGAGATTAAACAATTAGAATTGATCATTTAGTTTCTCAGTCCAAATGCATATAAGTTTCTTAAAGCTCCACTTTGCTTACCGTCACAATCAACGCTATGTAAAATTTTCATTCAATGGAATTTGACTGCTTGGTTAAACAATTTTATACGTAGTGTCATTAAATCAAACCACATTGAATGTTCATGCAAAAACATTGTGGTTTGGTTTGGTTTCGTCTGATGTATTGAAGAAATGGCACTCAAATGATTTTTATTTTATAATAAAACTATATACATATAGTAACGAGATTATTGGCTGTCATAATACCCTCGAAAGAAAGGCTATACTCCAGCAAAATGTGTCCTAGTCTTAATGGCAAGGGATAATTTTTTCAAATTGGAAACAGCCGATTGCATATTTTCTGTAGATTCATGTAAATGTAGCGACATCGTTCAGAGATTAAGAACAACTAGAATTGACGATTTACTTTCTCAGTCCAAATGCATATAAGTTTCTTAAAGCTCCACTTTGCTTACCGTCACAACCAACTAAAATTTCCATTCAAAGAGTGCTTCTTTAAAAATGTTACACTTTATGTCATTAAATCAAAAGTGTCCACTTTGAATGACCATGCAAAGACATCGTGGTTTATGTATTGATGAAATGGCACACACTCAAAAGGTTTCTATTTTATAATAAAACTATATAATGACGAGATTATAGACTTTCACAATACCCTCGAAAGTAAAGCTATACTACAACAAAATGTGTCTTAGTCTTAATGGCGAGGGATATTTTTTCAAATTGGAATCAGTCGATTGTATATTTTTTGTAGATGTATGTTGGAGTGAAGAATTAAGATTTATAATATATTTTTTTGAGGCAATAAGGAAGTTGAGATCCATAGATCTAATAGTCCTAGCACTGATTTCAGACCAGAGGTAAAATTTTATTCGTTTTTCCCGAAAACATTAAAGTAACTTCAAAAATACCTTATTTTCATGTAGATAAATAATTAAAAAGTGTTTTATATCTTTGATGTCCCAGATCGTTTTAAATCTACTAGAAATAATTTACTTCAATATAAATTCAAAACGTCAGCAGAGGAGACTGATAAAGAATATTTATAAAAGAAGTATAATAAGCAAAAAGAAAAACCTTTGTCATGACGTTCCTGTTCAGAATTAATAGATGAAAGCAAAATTGGCAGAGCAAGTATTTAGTGCAAGCACTGCTGCTGTACTTAAATGTTACATTGAATTTGAACAATATCCTAACTTGGAAAATGATAGAGTTAATTTTATTTTATGATTTTTGATTGGTTAAATTCGTCCAGAATGCCTAATAGTAAAAATAAATAGAAAAAAACATTTCTAGTGCCCAACTACCAAATAAATATTTTAAAAGAAATGTCAGTTATTTTGATTCTGCTAAAGTTTATAAAGGCGAAAAAGAGGTAACTATAAAATTAAAATTCATAAAAGGGTAGAAAATTAGCATCAATTAATTTTTAGGTCCTTCGGATAAATTAAAATCATACGGAAATAATTCGGTATATACTAGTCATATGAATCAAGATTGTGTAAGAATTTTGTGTTTTATTAAAGAAAAAAAAAAGTTTATATTGAATTTGTTAATTGTTTATTGTTACTTTAATAAATAGTATTTTGTTTGAATCTTTAATTGATTTTACTAACCTCATCGCTATGAAAGCTATAAAATAGCGGTTTCCTAAGCGATGTGGTTTGCATTTACGTTTACACATTTTCCGAAGTTACTTATTGATACGTCCTATTATGTAAATTCTGAAACAAGTCAACTAAATTGTATTGCTTATGTTTGCTGCTATTTTTAAAAACATATTTGGAAAGACATTCTTGGTCAATTTGTATACAGTATGTCACCGGGTTGTCTTTACAAAAGGAAAAAATTTTTCATTATTGATATTTCCAGAAAAATATATTCTTTTTCTCAGAATTTGTTTATCTTGTAAATACTGGTCTAATGTTTGCTATTACTATATTTACTATAAACTTACTAAATATTTTTGAATCTTATTTTTATTTTGATATTCCTTGACATTGTAAACATTTATAAATGTTTATTTTAAACAATAAGACTGACAATGTAATTTCTATACTTGTTTTGTATTCTCTTTTGTTTGTTTAGTTGAAGGAGTTGCGGAGTCGAGAGTTCAGGTATGCAACAGCAGCAACACGAGGCAGAGAGGAACAAGCCGAAGAAAATGTGATGCCCTTCCGCATCATCAGCGACATCATCTTTGTCGCAACCATCGACTTCTGTGTCTCAACCGTCCACTTCCCCAACATTCACCCCCATCAAATATGCTGACGCCGACAAGCAGTATATCGTCCCCTCCGGGTGCAAGTTTAAAAACGGATGTACCTGGACAATCTGTTTTGGAAAAGATGACCCAGGTATACGGCTCGTCTGACCCTCCGACAACGGGGAATCCATATATTCAGTAAAACTCCTCGTCACCGCTCGGTCATGCAACTCAAGAATAACTGACGACGCAAGTGTCCCAGATTTCGCCTCAGTCATGCGTGTCACACTTAAGCAATACTATTCACAATTTTACTCTGGGAAGTAGTGCGGTAAGCGTAAGCCCATCCCCGCCTACCACACCGGGAATTGTTGCGTACAACCACGCTCCGAATGTCGTTCCAACGAACTATCCCCATGCTCACAGTCAGTCCTACCAAACCGACTTAAATAACCACAATGTGATTCAGGTAGCTCAGACCAATAATTATCAAATCAACAAGAACCACGCGTCCTATCCTAATCAGGTTCTAAACGTAGACTACCATCAATACCAGGCATACCCTAATCCTCAAAACGGAAGTCACTGGGGTAATATTCACTCTCACCCGGGGTACAGCGTGCCACCCAGCAGCTCCAATGCTATCCCAACTTTGTTAACCAAAATCACATGCAGCATTAGTTGAATGAGGGAAGGAGTTGCGGCTAAAATCGGAGGTGCGGAGTCGACTTCTGTGTCTCAACCGTCCAACCAAATTACCAATCCCACAGACTGCACCCATTCGGCAATTTACCAACAGTGTCAGCATATCCGCCAGCCGTTGCGACAAGAAAACAGAGGCGGGAGCGGACCATCTATAGCAAGAAACAAGTACAAGTTTTGGAAATTTTGTTCGAAAAGACCAGGTACCCCAATATTTTTATGAGCGAAGAAGGTGCCGCTAAAATCGGAGTTGCGGAGTCGAGAGTTCAGGTATGGTTTAAGAACACATCATCTTTGACGCATGACGACATCTTTGACGCATAAGACATTGGTTACATATAGCAGTAAACAGTAGTGCGGTTAGGTTAGGAGCATAAGACAGTAGTGCGGGAAGCGTAAGGCGATCCCCGCCTACCACACCGGGAATCGCTGTGTACAACCACGCTCCGAATGTCGTTCCAACGAACTATCACCATGAGGCAGTGAGGAACAAGCCGAAGAAAATGCGACGCTCTTCCGCATCATCAGCGACATCATCTTTGTCGCAACAATCGACTTTTGTGTCTCAACCGTCCACTTCCGCTTCTTTGCCACAACCGCAACAAGAAGGCTCGATAGTAGCCTCGACTGCTATACTATCGAAAAAACTTTCACCGCCGTCAAGCCAAATTACCATTCCCTCAGACTGCACCCGTTCGGGAATTTACCAGCAGTGTCAGCATATCCGCCAGCCCTTGCGACAAAGAAAACAGTGGCGGGAGCGGACCACTTATAGCAAGAAACAACTACAAGTTTTGAAAATTTTGTTCGAAAAGGCCAGGTACCCCGATATATTTATGAGCGAAGAAGGTGCCGCTAAAATCGGAGTTGCGGAGTCGAGAGTTCAGGTATGGTTTAAGAACAAATCATCTTTGACGCATGATGCATAAGACATTGGTCACATATAGCAGTAGACAGTAGTGCGGTTAGGTTAGGAGCATAAGACAGTAGTACGGGAAGCGTAAGGCGATCCTCGCCTACCACACCGGGAATTGTTGTGTACAACCACGCTCCGAATGTCGTTCCAACGAACTATCACCATGCGCACAGTCAGTCCTACCAAACCGGCTTAAATAACCACAATACATGGTATGCGAATCAGGTAGCTCAGACTACTAATAAAATTAACCAGAACCATGCGTCCTATCCTAATCAGGTTCTAAACTTAGACTACCATCACTACCATGCATACCCTTATCCTCAAAACGGAAGCCACTGGGGCAATATTCATCCACACCTGGGGTACAGTGTGCCACACAGCAGCTCCAATGCTATCCCAACTTTGATAACCAAAATCACATGCAGCATTAGTTGAACGAGGGAAGAATTTGCCGCTAAAATCGGAATTGCAGAGTCGAGAGGTCAGGTATGGTTTAAGAACCGACACGACGAGCCAAAGCCCGTACGCAACAGCAGAAACACGAGGCAGTGAGGAACAAACCGAAGAAAATGCGACGCCCTTCCACATCATCTCTTTTGTGTCTCAACCGTCCAACCAAATTACCATTCCCTCAGACTGCACCCGTTCGACAATTTACCAACAGTTTAAGCATATCCGCCAGTCGTTGCCCAAAGAAAACAGAGGCGGGAGCGGACCAACTATAGACTACTAGAATACTTAACGACTACAAGTTTTGGAAATTTTGTTCGAAAAGACCAGGTACCCCGATATTTTTATGAGGGAAGAAGTTGCCGCTAAAATCGGAGTTGCGGAGTCGAGAGTTCCGGTATGGTTTAAGAACCGACGAGCCAAAGCCCGTACGCAACAGCAGCAACACGAGGCAGAGAGGAATAAGCCGAAGAAAATGCGACGCCCTTCCGCATCATCAGCGACATCATCTTTGTCGCAACCATCGACTTCTGTGTCTCAACCGTCCAACCAAATTACCATTCCCTCAGACTGCACCCGTTCGGCAATTTCCCAACAGTGTCAGCATATCCGCCAGCCGTTGCGACAAGAAAATAGAGGCGGGAGCGGACTGCCTATAGAAAGGATCAACTACAAGTTTTGGAAATTTTGTTCGAAAAGACCAGGTACCCGATATTTTTATGAGGGAAGAAGTTGCCCCTAAAATCGGAGTTGCGGAGTCGAGAGTTCAGGTATGGTTTAAGAACCGACGAGCCAAAGCCCGTACGCAACAGCAGCAACACGAGGCAGAGAGGAGCGAATGTCGTTCCAAAGAATGATACCCATGCGCACAGTCAGTCCTACCACACCGACTTAAAGAACCACAATACTTAACGACTACAAGTTTTGGAAATTTTGTTCGAAAAGACCAGGTACCCCGATATTTTTATGAGGGAAGAAGTTGCCGCTAAAATCGGAGTTGCGAAGTCGAGAGTTCAGGTTTGGTTTAAGAACCGACGAGCCAAAGCCCGTACGCAACAGCAGCAACACGAGGCAGAGAGGAGCGAATGTCGTTCCAACGAATTATCCCTATGCGCACAGTCGGTCCTACTAAACCGTCTTAAAGAACCACAATACTTAACGACTACAAGTTTTGGAAATTTTGTTCGATATTTTTATGACAGGAGAAGTTGCCGTTAAAATCGGAGTTGCGGAGTAGAGAGTTCAGGTATGGTTTAAGAACCGACGAGCCAAAGCCAAAGTGTCTCAACCGTTCAACCAAATTACTATTCCCTCAGACTGCACCCGTTCGGCAATTTACCCACAGTGTCAGCATATCCGCCAGCCGTTGCGACAAGAAAACAGAGGCGGGAGCGGACCGCCTATAGCAAGGAACAACTACAAGTTTTGGAAATTTTGTTCGAAAAGACCAGGTACCCGATATTTTTATGAGGGAAGAAGTTGCCGCTAAAATCGGAGTTGCGGAGTCGAGAGTTCAGGTATGGTTTAAGAACCGACGAGCTAAAGCCCGTACGCAACAGCAGCAACACGAGGCAGAGAGGAGCGAATGGCGTTCCAAAGAATGATCCCCATGCGCACAGTCAGTCCTACCAAACCATCTTAAAGAACCACAATACTTAACGACTACAAGTTTTGGAAATTTTGTTCGAAAAGACCAAGTACCCCGATATTTTTATGAGAGGAGAAGTTGCCGTTAAAATCGGAGTTGCGGAGTCGAGAGTTCAGGTATAGTTTAAGAACCGACTAGCCAAAGCCAAAGTGTCTCAAACGTTCAACCAAATTACTATTCCCTCAGACTGCACCCGTTCGGCAATTTACCCACAGTGTCAGCATATCCGCCAGCCGTTGCGACAAGAAAACAGAGGCGGGACTGGACCACCTATAGCAAGGAACAACTACAAGTTTTGGAAATTTTGTTCGAAAAGACCAGGTACCCCGATATTTTTATGAGGGAAGAAGTTGCCGCTAAAATCGGAGTTGCGGAGTCGAGAGTTCAGGTTTGGTTTAAGAACCGACGAGCCAAAGCCCGTACGCAACAGCAGCAACACGAGGCAGAGAGGAGCGAATGTCGTTCCAACGAATTATCCCTATGCGCACAGTCCGACGCTACCAAACCGACTTAATGAACCACAATAATTGCGCTAACAAACAATGAGCTACCATACCGACTTAAAGAACCACAATAATTAACGACTACAAGTTTTGGAAATCTTGTTCGAAAATACCAGGTACCCCGATATTTTTATGAGAGGAGAAGTTGCCGTTAAAATCGGAGTTGCGGAGTCGAGAATTCAGGTATGGTTTAAGATCCGACGAGCCAAAGCCAAAGTGTCTCATCCGTTCAACCAAATTGCCATTCTCTCAGACTGCACCCGTTCGGCAATTTACCAACAGTGTCAGCATATCCGCCAGCCGTTGCGACAAGAAAACAAAGGCGGAACCGGACCACCTATAGCAAGGAATAACTAAAAGTTTTGGAAATTTTGTTCGAAAAGAACAGGTACCCCGATATTTTTATGAGGGAAGAAGTTGCCGCTAAAATCAGAGTTGCGGAGTCGAGAGTTCAGGTATGGTTTAAGAACCGACGAGCTAAAACCTGTACGCAACAGCAGCAACACGAGGCAGAGAGGAATAAGCCGAAGAAAATGCGACGCCCTTCCGCATCATCAGCGACATCATCTTTGTCGCAACCATCGACTTCTGTGTCTCAACCGTCCAACCAAATTACCATTCCCTCAGACTCTACCCGTTCGGCAATTTCCCAACAGTGTCAGCATATCCGCCAGCCGTTGCGACAAGAAAATAGAGGCGGGAGCGGACCGCCTATAGCAAGGAACAACTACAAGTTTTGGAAATTTTGTTCGAAAAGACCAGGTACCCGATATTTTTATGAGGGAAGAAGTTGCCGCTAAAATCGGAGTTGCGGAGTCGAGAATTCAGGTATGGTTTAAGAACCGAAGAGCCAAAGCCAAAGTGTCTCAACCGTTCAACCAAATTACCATTCCCTCAGACTGCATCCGTTCAGGAATTTACCAACAGTGTCAGCATATCCGCCAGCCGTTGCGACAAGAAAACAGAGGCGGGAGCGGACCGCCTATAGCAAGGAACAACTACAAGTTTTGGAAATTTTGTTCGAAAGACCAGATACCCCGATATTTTTATGAGAGGAGAAGTTGCCGTTAAAATCGGAGTTGCGGAGTCGAGAATTCAGGTATGGTTTAAGAACCGACGAGCCAAAGCCAAAGTGTCTCAACCATTCAACCAAATTACCATTCCCTCAGACTGCATCCGTTCGGCAATTTACCAACAGTGTCAGCATATCCGCCAGCCGTTGCGACAAAAAAACAGAGGCGGAACCGGACCACCTATAGCAAGGAACAACTAAAACTTTTGGAAATTTTGGTCGAAAAGAACAGGTACCCCGGATATTATTTTTATGAGGGAAGAAGTTGCTCGCTAAATCAGAGTTGCGGAGTCGAGTATTCAGGTATGGTTTAAGAACCGACGAGTCAAAAGCCTGTACGCAACAGCAGGAACACGAGGCAGAGAGGAAGTCGAAGAAAATGCGACGCCATTCCGCATCATCATCAGCGACATCATCTTGTCGCAAACTTCATCGACTTCTGTGTGTCTCAAACTGTCCAACCAAATTACCATTCCTCAGACTGCACCTGCTTCCTTGGCAATTTTTCCAACAGTGTCGCTATTGGTCCGCCAGCCGTTGCGACAAGAAAAATAGAGGCGGAGCGACCGCCTATAAAGGAACAACTGCTAAGTTTTTGGAAATGTTGTTCGAAAAGACCATGTACCCCGATATATTTATGAGGGAAAAAGTTGCCGCTAAAATCACAGTTGCGGAGTCGAGAGTTCAGGTATGGTTTAAGAACCGTCGAGCTAAAGCCTGTGCGCAACAGCAGCAACACGAGGCAGAGAGGAACAAGCCGAAAAAATGCTACGCTCTTCCGCATCATCAGCGACATAATCTTTGTCGCAACCATCGACTTCTGTATCTCAACCGTCCAACCAAATTACCATTCCTTCAGATTGCACCCGTTCGGCAATTTACCAACAGTGTCAGCATATCCGCCAGCCGTTGCGACAAGAAAACAGAGGCGGGAGCGGACCACCTATAGCAAGGAACAACTACAAGTTTTGGAAATTTTGTTCGAAAAGACCAGGTACCCCGATATATTTATGAGGGAAGAAGTTGCCGCTAAAATCGGTGTTGCGGAGTCGAGAGTTCAGGTATGGTTTAGGAACCGAAGAGCCAAAGCCCGTACACAACAGCAGCAACACGAGACAGAGAGGAAGAAGCTGAAGAAAATGCGACGCCCTTCCGCATGATCAGCGACATCATCTTTGTCGCAACGCGACTTTTTGTCTCAACCGTCCACTTCCGCTTTTTTGCCACAACCGCAACAAGAAGCCTCGATAGTGGCCTCGACTGCTATACTACCGAAAACTATCACTCCCTTCAAATATGCTGACGCCGACAAGCAGCATATCGTCCCCTCCGGGAACAAGTTTAAAAACAGATATATCTGACATCATCTATATCGTAACCATCGACTTCTGTTTTTCAACCGTCCAACCAAATTACCATTCCCTCTGACTGCACCCGTTCGTCAATTTATCAACAGTGTCAGCATATCCGCCAGCCGTTGCCACAAGGAAACAGGCGGGAGCGGACCATCTATAGCAACGAACAACTACAAGTTTTGGAAATTTTGTTCGAAAAGACCAGGTACCCCGATATATTTATGAAGGAAGAAGTTGCCGCTAAAATTGGAGTTGCGGAGTCGAGAGTTCAGGTATAGTTTAAGAACCGACGAGCCAAAGCCCGTACGCAACAGCAGCAACGCGAGGCAGAGAGGATCAAGCCGAAGAAAATGCGACGCCCTTCCGCATCATCAGCGACATCATCTTTGTCGCAACCATCGACTTCTGTGTCTCAACCGTCCACTTCCGCTTTTTTGCCACAACCGCAACAAGAAGCCTCGTTAGTAGCCTCGACTGCTATACTACCGAAAAAACTTTCACCTTCGCCAAATATGCTGACGCCGACAAGCAGCATATCGTCCCCTCCGGGAACAAGTTAAAAACAGATGTACCTGGATAATCTGTCTTGGAAAAGATGACCGAGGTCAACAGACTTAAATAACCACAATATTTGATATGCGAATCAGGTAGCTTCAATTACTATCAAATCAAACAGAACCACGCGTCCTATCCTAATCAGGTTCTAAACGTAGACTACCATCACTACCACGCATACCCTTATCTTCAAAACGGAAGCCACTGGGGCAATATTCACCCACACCCGGGATACAGCGTGCCACCCAGCAGCTCCAATGCTATCCCAGCTTTGATAACCAAAATTACATGCAGCATTAGTTGAATGAGGGAAGAAGTTGCCGCTAAAATCGGAGTTGCGGAGTCGAGAGTTCAGGTTTGGTTTAAGAACCGACGAGCCAAAGCCTGTACGCAACAGCAGCAACACGAGGCAGAGAGGAGCGAATGTTGTTCCAACGAATTATCCCTATGCGCACAGTCAGTCCTACCAAACCGACTTAAAGAACCACAATAATTAACGACTACAAGTTTTGGAAATTTTGTTCGAAAAGACCAGGTACCCCGATATTTTTATGAGAGGAAAAGTTGCCGTTAAAATCGGAGTTGCGGAGTCGAAAATTCAGGTATGGTTTATGAACCGACGAGCCAAAGCCAAAGTGTCTCAACCGTTCAACCAAATTACCATTCCCTCAGACTGCACCCGTTCGGCAATTTACCAACAGTGTCAGCATATCCGCCAGCCGTTGCGACAAGAAAACAGAGGCGGAACCGGACCACCTATAGCAAGGAACAACTAAAACTTTTGGAAATTTTGTTCGAAAAGAACAGGTACCCCGATATTTTTATGAGGGAAGAAGTTGCCGCTAAAATCAGAGTTGCGGAGTCGAGAGTTCAGGTATGGTTTAAGAACCGACGAGCTAAAGCCTGTACGCAACAGCAGGAACACGAGGCAGAGAGGAATAAGCCGAAGAAAATGCGACGCCATTCCGCCAGCATCACCGAAGCGACACCATTCCCTTGCTCGCAAACCACCTAGACTTCTGTGTCTCAACCGTCCAACCAAATTGGCCTTCATTCCCTCAGACTGCACCTGTTCGTACTTTCAACAGTGTCAAAGCATATCCGCCAGCCGTTGCGACAAGAAAATAGAGGCGGAGCGACCGCCTATAGCAAGGAACAACTAAAAGTTTTGGAAATTTGATCGAAAGAATTGTGCGCACCCGATATTTTTATGAGGGAAGAAGCGGCAAAACGGAGTTGCGGAGTCGAGTTCGTGCGGGCGTTTAAGAACCCGCACGCAACAGCAGCAACGCGAGGCAGAGAGGAACAAAGCCGCAAGAAAATGCGACGTCCTTCGCATCATCAGCGACATAATCTTTGTCGCAAACTATCGATTTCTGTGTCTCAACAGCCCACTTCCGCTTTTAAGCCACACCGCAACAAGAAGCCCTGATAGTAGCCTCTTAATTTCTATACCACCGAAAAAAGTTTTCACCCCTGTCAAATATGCTGACGCCGACAAGCAACATATGCTTATTATATCTTCCGGGACAAGTTTAAAACAGATGTACCTGTCTTGGAAAATATGACCGGTGCGTGCCTGTCTGACCTTCCCGACAACGGGGGAGTCTCCATAGTAGCTAGCAAACCCTCGTCACCGTTCGGCCGATACAACTCAAGAATCACCGACTATGCAAATGTGCCAGATTTCGCCTCGTACGTGTCACAATTTAAGTAATACTATTCATAATTTCACAATCGGGAAGTAGTGCAGGAATATATGTACCTCACCCTATATGTATATTATTAAGTTCACAATAGATGATTTTACCCTATATATGTATTATTATTTTAATTCTAAGTATATTTATTTGTTATTGTCAATTATTCATTATTGATGTTATAAGCAATTAAGCATTTTAATCTATTGTAATAATGACGATTGAGTCAAATTATTTGTAACTAGAATCCTGAGCTCAAGGAAATGCTTTAATTAACCCTAAAAACATCCTCTCTCGGTCACCGACCTGTTATTATCACACAGCATATCGTCCTCCGAGAACAAGTAAGCAAGTTTAAAAAACAAATGTACCTGGACAATCTGTCTTGGAAAAATGATCGATGGCTGGGCCGGCTCGTCTGACTTCCTGACAACGGGGAGTCTCCATAACAGCAAAAACTCCGCCGTCACCGTTCGGAGCGGTACAACTCAAGAATGATCATAAGTGTGCCAGATTTCGCCTCAATCGTACGTGTCACAATTTAAGTAATACTATTCATAATTTCACACCGGGAAGTAGTGCAGGAATATAGCCCTCACCCATATATGTATATTGTTCATTAATTAGATGTATCTTTTACCCTATATATGCATATTTTAATTTAAGTATATTTATTGTTATTATTCATTATTGATGTTATAAGCACAAGCATTTTAATCTATTGTAATACTGACGATTGATGTAAATAAAATATTTGTAACTAGAACGAGCTTCAAATGCTTAATTAACCCTAAAACATCCTCTCGGTCAATCTGTTATTATCACACAGCATATCGTCCCCTCCGAGAACAAGTTTAAAAACAAATGTACCTGGACAATCTGTCTTGGAAAAAATGACCGATGTATACGGCTCGTCTGACTTTCCGACAACGGGGAGTCTCCATATAGTCAGCAAAACTCCTCGTCACCGTTCGGATATACAACTCAAGAATCACCGACTATGCAAGTGTGCCAGATTTCGCCTCAATCGTACGTGTCACACTTAAGTAATACTATTCATAATTTCACACCGGGAAGTAGTGCAGGAATATATGTACCTCACCCTATATATGTATATTGTTCATTAATTAGATGTATCTTACCCTATATATGCATATATTTTAATTCCTAAGTTACCAACTTGGTCCCTGGAGCCTGTTCCACCTTCCGGACAACTGGGGATCCGGCTATGGCAGCAAACCCCTGTCACCGTTCGACAGTAACTAATACTGACGACCATGTGGGCAAAGCCAGGTTTCGCTTCAGTCATGTGTGTCACACTTAAGTAATACTACGTCTTCACAATTTCACACTGGTAGTAGTGTGGGAAGCGTAATGGTTGTGTGTACAACCGCATGAATGTGTTCCAACGAATTATCCCCATGGGCACAGCCGGGTCCCAAATGTCCTCCAATTTTTCAATCACAAAATATTTGAATGCGAATCAGGTCGTGCTCTCAGACCAATAACTATCAAATCAACAAAACCACGTCCTATCTTTTAATCAGGCTCCCAAACGTAGACTACCATCAATACCAGGCATTAAATGGTAAAGATGACCGATGTATATTGCTTTCTCTGCCCCATCTCCTAAGGACAACGGGGAGTCCATAAGCAAAACTCCTCGTCACCGTTCGGACATGCAATATTGCTGACTATGGCAGCTGTGTTTTGGCCTCCAGTCATGTCTGTCACACTTAAGTAATACTATTTACAATTTCACACTGGGTAGTAGTGCGGGAAGCATAATGGTTGTGTACAACCACGCTACGAATGTCGTTCCAACGAATTATCCCCATGGGCACAGTCAGTCCTACCAAACCGACTTAAAAGACCACAATACTTGGAATGCGAATCAGGTCGCTCAGACCAATAACTATCAAATCAACAAAAACCACGCGTCCTATCTTAATCAGGTTCTAAACGTAGACTACCATCACTACCAGGCATTAAATGGTAAAGATGACCGATGTATACGGCTCGTCTGACCTTCCGACAACGGGGAGTCCATATAAGCAAAACTCCTCGTCACCGTTCGGACATGCAACTCAATATTACCGACTATGCAAGTGTGCCAGGTTTCGCCTCAGTCATGTCTGTCACACTTAAGTAATACTATTTACAATTTCACACTGGGTAGTAGTGCGGGAAGCATAATGGTTGGGCACAAACTTCATACGAATGTCGTTCCAACGAATTATCCCCATGGGCACAGTCAGTCCTACCAAACCGACTTAAATGACCACAATACTTGGAATGTGAATCAGGTCGCCAGACCAATTACTATCAAATCAACGAGAACCACGCGTCCTATACTAACCAGGTTCTAAACGTAGACTGCCATCACTACCAGGCATACCCTTATCCTCAAAACAGATGCCACTGCTGGGGCAATATTCACCCACACCCGGGGTACAGCGTGCCACCCAGCAGCTCCAATGCTATCCCAAATTTGATAACCAAAATCACATGCAGCATTAGTGGAATGAGGGAAGAAGTTGCGGCTAAAATCGGAGTTGCAGAGTCAAGAGTTCAGGTATGATATAGGAACCAACGAGCCAAAGCCCGTACGCAACAGCAACAACACGAGGCAGAGAGGAACAAGCCGAAGAAAATGCGACGCCATTCCGCATCATCAGCGACATCATCTTTGTCGCAACCATCGACTTGTGTCTCAAACTGTCCAACCAATTGGGCTCCTCAGACTGCACCTGTTCGGAATTTCCAACAGTGTCAGCATATCCGCCAGCCGTTGCGACAAGAAAATAGAGGCGGGAGCGGACCGCCTATAGCAAGGAACAACTACAAGTTTTGGAAATTTTGTTCGAAAAGACCAGGTACCCGATATTTTTATGAGGGAAGAAGTTGCCGCTAAAATCGGAGTTGCGGAGTCGAGAGTTCAGGTATGGTTTAAGAACCCGTACGCAACAGCAGCAACGCGAGGCAGAGAGGAACAAGCCGAAGAAAATGCGACGTCCTTCCGCATCATCAGCGACATAATCTTTGTCGCAACCATCGACTTCTGTGTCTCAACAGTCCACTTCCGCTTCTTTGCCACAACCGCAACAAGAAGCCTCGATAGTAGCCTCGACTTCTATACCACCGAAAAAAGTTTTCACCCCCGTCAAATATGCTGACGCCGACAAGCAACATATGCTTATTATATCTTCCGGGAATAAGTTTAAAAACAGATGTACCTGTCTTGGAAAATATGACCGAGGTATGCGGCTCGTCTGACCTTCCGACAACGGGGAGTCTCCATATAGTCAGCAAAACTCCTCGTCACCGTTCGGACATACAACTCAAGAATCACCGACTATGCAAATGTGCCAGATTTCGCCTCGTACGTGTCACACTTAAGTAATACTATTCATAATTTCACACCGGGAAGTAGTGCAGGAATATATGTATCTCACCCTATATATGTATATTGTTCATTAATTAGATGTATCGTATGCATATTTTAATTTAAGTATATTTATATGTTATTGTCAAATATTCATTATTGATGTTATAAGCAATTAAGCATTTTAATCTATTGTAATAATGACGATTGATAAATAAATTATTTGTAACTAGAACGAGCTTCAGAAATGCTTAATTAACCCTAAACATCCTCTCGGTCACCCAAGCATATTATCACACAGCATATCGTCCCTCCGAGAACAAGTTTAAAAAACAAATGTACCTGGACAAATTGTCTTGGAAAAATGACCGATGTATACGGCCTGGGTCTGATCTCTTTCCGACAACGGGGAGTCTCCATAGTCAGCAAAACTCCTGGTCACCGTTCGATATACAACCTCAAGAATCACGACCATGCAAGTGTGCCAGATTTCGCCCTCACCGTACGTGTCACACTTAAGAATACTTATTCATAATTTCACCGGGAAGTAGTGCAGGAATATATGTACCTCACCCTATATATGTATATTGTTCATTAATTAGGATGTATCTTTTACCCTATATATGCATATTTTAATTTAAGTATATTTTATTTGTTATTGTCAATTATTCATTATTGATGCTTATAAGCAATTGGGCCATTTTAATCTATTGTAATAATGACGATTGATGTAAATAAATTATTTGTAACTAGGATCGAGCTTGAGAAATGCTTACACTCAACCCTAAAAATTCTCTCGGTCACCGACCTGCTATCACACAGCATATCGTCCCTCCGAGAACAAGTTTAAAACAATGTACCGACAAATCTGTCTTGAAAAAGGATGACCGATGTATACGGTTTCCGTCTAACCTTCCGGACAACGGGGAG